CAACATTTTGAAATTGATAAAAGATGATGGAAATATTTAACCATTTAAAAAATGAGCACATTCCATATGAAAATTTGGTTATTCTTGTTGAATTTATGTTTTGCTGCCCTGAAACTAATGCTGCTGTTGAAAGAGTTATTTTCAATTGGTAACAAATTTTGGATAAGTGAGAAATCCAGATTGAATGTTGATACTTTAGCTGCAGCACTTACCATAAAATTCAAAATGAAGGATATTTCCTATTCCGAAATTTCCCATATAATAGAAAATTATATATTGACAAAAAAAATCAATCATTAAATGGAAAAATACTTGTTTAAGTAAATAATTAAAATTGATGCCAGCGAGCGTATTTAGCGTATTTTTGTTTGAATTAATAAAATGTTTCATATATTTTTGTTGTAATTTTTTTTCTCAAATTTTTTGTCCTCCTTTTCATTGCAAAAAAATATTGGCCACCTTAGTTAGCATTATCAAAAAATGTAAAATAAATAATGCAGATATAAATTTATTATTTTATTATTGAATAAAAAGTATTTAGCTTTAAAGATACACCATTGTCATAACAATTTGTAACATGATTGCTACAATTTTAAATATAATGTTCATTTTTGTTATATTTTGTTTGATTATTTCTTGAACCTCAAATAATGTTATGGTAATCATTAAGTGTTTAATAATTTTTAAAAATATAATTTTTGAAAAAGTAAGATTTCTATTTTGTGTTTACAAAATTATTATGAGATATAGGAAACTCATTTTTATGAAATTTTATCTAATCAGTTACTATGAATTTTTAAAAAATAGTCTTCTACTTAGCTTTGAGTATTTTGAATAAAACTTTTAAATACATAAGATGTAAATTTAGATGATACATTACTGATGTAGTATACCATTTACCAATTTCAATGAATCAAAAATGTCATCAACTGGCATGATAACCTGTAGTGAATAATCCATTCTCTTGTATATTTAAGCATAGCATTCTTATTTGTGGCATACTCAAAAATATTTCTTTTTTAAGGAACTTTTTTCCTGCACATATGAAAACACAATATTCATGATAACATATGATTGAAAATAATAACATTGTTTATAACTTTTATTTTATTGGGAAAAATTATTCAATTTTGGGATCTATATTTTATGGAATAGAAGGCTGTGGAATATATATTTCAGTCTTAATGCATAAGTTTCTAAAAGATTTTGTGGTTTAACTAAATGGCAAAATGAAAATTTTCACTTGTATCCCACACGTTCAAACACATCTTGATCTCACATGTTGAAAAATAATAACATTGTCTATAATTTGTATTATTATTCTTTTCTTATTTTGTTGTGAAAAATGATTAAAATATGGAATCTACATTCTTCCAAAGGGATTGTAGTGGAGTATTTCCCAAAACACGGTCTAATATGCAAGTTTTCAAAAGACTGAGATTTAGCAGCAAAGCAAGAAGCTTTGCAGAATATCATGACAACATTTAGATTGATACTTATAAAAATTTATGTGGCATTCATAAGGAAGACTTTGGTTAAAATGTAGACTAGGGGTACCTACAGTTGGCAAATTAATTTTTTGGCATTTAGAAGGCCTCGCCAAACTATTGATGGTTATTCTGAGAGATTTCAAAATATCATTTTTCAAGAAAGCCATCATTGAGGAGAGATACATATAACAATACTTTTGAAATTATTAATGAATCTGTTATTTTCGTAAATTTTTTTTAAAAAAAGGAATATTAATTTTGAAAAATATAGGAAAAAGGCTTACCTTTGTTTACAAGAGAATTATCTCTGTAGGATAGTAAATTCTCTTGTTGTCCTTGAGGAAAACAATTCATTTGGATTGCTGGATTTATGCATTTCTTTCCACTTGAATTCCACAAAGAATTGTATTGATTCTCACAAGCACATATTCATCATTCAAAATTTCAAGCATATTTATTCTACTTTACCCAAACTGGCTATTCTTTCATACAGATCTTCTAATACAATGCATATTCCTGTCTTTCAGCATTCTTAAATATATCCATCACTCGACTATATTTAATCAAATACTTAACATTCTTTGAAACCATATATTCCATTTATTGACAGCAACATCCAATTCTCAAATGCAGAGAAAATTCTTTTGCTACTTCATGACCTTGATTTTGAAATGTACCACTGTTTCAGAAGGATAATTTCTTTTTATACCTCCCCCCCCCCTTTTCAAACAAAATCAAGAAGGTAGGGTAAATTTTACCCTGGTACATGTACTGATAGGTAAATGTTTAGTTTCTTATAGCTATACAATGAATATCGTTTTACATGAAATTGAAGGGACTAAAATATATTTTTGTGTTAAAGGATACTGCAAAAAAAAAAAATAAATAAATAAACATATATCAACAAAATAAAATTTGTTAGAGTTCATTTTATTAAAAAAGATATGTATATATGTATGTATTTAATAAAAGCCAATGAAACAAAAACTTAATGAAATTTAATACAAAATTTTCAAGTTTTTTGAAAAACAAAACATTTATTGAGTTTTTTACAAAATAATAGGACATTTTTATTTGTATTGTCTTTTTTAGCATTAAAAACTCAACAAATTGTTCTATGTTGCCCATTTTGTAATTCATTTTACCATTGGAATATGTGTCTGAATAACTGCATATTTTTCATGAGGTTTCTCATTTTGGATGACGCGAGTACAGTAGCTGCATTATTCACAGGGGCATAGCTACCGCCATATCAGTGATACGGGGCTTCAACATATGTTAGCAAAAATTGTAAAATGTTATCAATAATCCAATTAACAAAATTCCCATGTTCAAAAAAAGGCCCCCTAGGAATTTTTGATATGGGGCCCCTCAGGTCTAGCTATGCCAGTGGTTATTCATTTCATTTTCGTCATTGGAATCTGAATAAATGATATTTTTTGAGCTATGAACAAACTTCAAAATGTCTTTTTCTGCCATAATTGGGGCTGTACACACATTATCATCTACTGCAGCAAATTCTGATGATGATGAACCTGTGTGGCTTATTATTTTGTTTGTTCCTAGAAGGGAAATCTTTTCATGTTAAAGGGGGGGGGGGAAAGTACATGAAAATAATAGTAGTTTGTCAGGATTGATGTATTATTTTGTGTTAACTGATAGTTCATCTTAAGCGTTTTCATGTTAAACACATTTCACTGTAATTCCATTGATTAGCTTGATAATAAAGTATGATTCGATTTACACTTATATGATTAAAATTATTGCTATATTTCATATTTGATGGTTAATTCTTTTATATATATCACTCTCTTAACTCCCTTCTTTCTCTTTAATAAATGTCATACATTTATTTTATTAGAATTCTACAAATGGCAGATTTATTTGGAGATCGCTGGAAACTTATCCAAAGGGTAATGTAATTATCTCTTAATATTATAAAAATGTGTTAAATGTTTTTTTTCTGAATTCATTCTGATTGGTGTAGTATCCACTATATATTATGAAGACTTTTGTATAGGTATTACAGTACTTTTTTTTTGACATTTTTTTATTGTACTGATTTTGACAAAAAGTGGCTGCAGTAACCAAGTAGTTGTGGTAAGCAAATATCTACAAGAAATCTATAGATACACAGAAATTGATTGTGTATTATCTATATGCATGCCTAAATTTATTTAGGCAATCAACACCAGTGTATGTATTAGGCAATCAACACCAGTGTATGTATATGTTGAATGATAATATTTTATCATATAAATTATCAAATTCAGTTATTGAATAGATAGAATTTGTCTTTGAATAAATTAATATTTCAGAACTGTGAGCAACACACAATCCCATTTTAGGAGCTGTTATTAAAAACTAGCTATGATATTTATTCATAGCAAAGTAGATTATTTAAATAGTATCCTTATTCTAAACATGGAAAAATGCACCCTAACTTAAATTTTAGTAGACTTAGAAATATAAAATATACTATGTATTGTATTTAAAAGCTCTTGTATATATTTTCAATCTTTTTTTGAACTTAAAGCAGTCAGTTTATTTTACCAGACTGTATGCTTGCTTTTGAATGGCTGTATACACTCAAATTAGAGAATTAGCCTTATTGTTTCTTTGGTTATTTTGTTGTAAAGTTGAAAAATCTTCACTCTGTCTCTCAAATTTTGTTTGGATTAGTTGGATGAAAAGATTCGCTGAATTTTCTTGTTCCAACTTCTCCATTGGTGTTTCTTATTAAAGATTAAATTTAAGAAGCTGAAAAAACTTTATTTCTTTTTCTCAGCTTTAAGCATTTAACTGTAAATTTTCCTTAATTTTAACTTTTTCAAATCTTAATGCCAATTTTAAATTCTTGGCAAGAATGGAATCACTATAATTGTACCATCATTTCTATTGAAGATTCAGATTTAGCAGGGCTCAAAATAAATGGTTCATATAATCGAAGTCCATCGCCAAAAGCCCTCGAGTAGCTGAATAGTGTGACATTAATATTCACACTCACTTACTAACTAGTATTTTCATACAGTTAATTCTTTAAAACTGTATTCTTTTTTCACAAAATTATGTCGTGTGTGTTTATATGCAGGTCCTTGAGTTATTTCACATAGTCTATTTATGATGTATAATATTAAGTTTCAGGTAATGTAACCTTTGAATTTTGGTCAGTTTAGTTAATTTTTCACTGAGAAGTGGAATTGCAATTTTATTGTAGTTTTTTTATAAATTTTCTCCCTTTGTTTTTCAATTCCTATTATTAGTTAACTCTTTCCCTATATATATATATAAAACTATGTATGTAATTCAAATTTTCTATTGTTAATAAAATACTTTCTATTCATCCAATCAAGTTCAAAAACATTTTTTAAAACTTGTAATAGATGACACTTGAGGTTAATACAGTTTTTTTAAAAATATAATTCATTAATTATATTTAATTAATGAATAAATAGTAACAAACAAAATAGTAGTCCAATAACATATATAGAAAAGAAAATCATTGGTTGTGTTCCTATAGCGCAATGGATAGCGCATTGGACTTCTTGTTCAAAGATCATGGGTTCAAATCCCATCTGGGATGGCCTAATTTCAAAGAATGTGATTTTTTTACTATACTATTTTATTAGAATAATTAAATTTGATGAATAAATAAATAGTAACAAACAAACAAAAAATAGTCCAACATATATAGAAAGGAAAATGGAAAATTGTAAGGAAACTTGCTTTCTATTTTGTCATTTTATGTTGTGATTCTGTCATGTGTATATACATATTTACAAATTGTAACTATTTAGTAAAAAGTAATTAAAATAAAATGTTTCTTTGTTGACCTTAATAGGAATTGACTTAAAATTTTTTTTATATTACTTCTTTGTTTTCATTATTTTTTATTAGATAACATGTTATATCCTATGATTTTTTTAAAAATTTAAGTATGAGTATTTATCTAAATTAACTCTGACAATGATGTAAATATGTACTTACTTTTTTTTTATAAAAAAAAGGAAAACTTTAACTATTCAAATTGAACTGGTAATGTTATGAAAACTAAACATAGATGAAGTTTTTTTTTTTGGTACATCCTTGGCAATGATTTTAAAATTGCACCAAGATGTTGCCAAGTTGTGTTTTTTAAATTTGAACTCACTGCAATATACAAAGCAATGGTATCACGTCTGAAAATCGGTGACAACATTATTGGTGACGTAAGTAAAAACGTGATGTTTAGTAAAAATCAATTCTCACAAAAAAAGTATGTCCAAAATAAATGGGAACAAAATCTCTGGCCTTATGAAGATTTTCTCCTTTTCGCGACAACGACTGTGGTTTAACTTAAAAAAAGAACAAAGGGGGATTTTCATCTGTCCATTGTGAAACTTATTACTAAGGTTATAGGTTTACTCCATCATTCTAATGATAATTCCAGTTTAGAGTTTAAAGAAAGATTGAAATAGGCCTTTATGCAGAGCAGTATGTATACCCCCCCCCCTCTTTTGATGAAAATATCGATTTAATGTAAAATAAAAATATCAAAATGGACAGAGAAAGTTAAAAAATTAGAAAGGAAAAAGTTTAATATTAAGCTAGATTTTCACCAATAATGATTGTTTTGTTGTTTTTATCACCACTTTTGACACAAATAATTTTCATCGCCAAAGGATGGTACAAAGTATAATTCAACCTTCATCACATGAATGCAAATCATTTGTTGGGAGAGAAGTCTAGTTTCCATTGAGAGTTATAGCCAGAATTTTAAGGGATTTTCCCATATATCTATATGTGTAATAAGTGAAAAAACAAATTAAAATCACATCTCCTCTAATTTTTGTTTTAAAAAAAATTTCCACAATGAAAAAGAAATGTTTTAAATTTGAAGGACGTTGTTTGCATGATTATACAATATTTTATTTGTGTCTGATTATTTAGGAAATGCACATACATACACACATTTTTTATGAATGGATACTTGTGGCTAAGTTCCCATATGTTGATTGCCTTTTTATGTCAATTAGTTCATTCCAGTCCCTGGGTGATTAACTTACAAAAATACATATTCAGTTTAGAAATTCTTAAATAATTATTTTTTACTAATAATCACAAAAGCATGATTAGAAGTAATGAAAAAAATACATCTTACATTACAAGAGAATATCAAAATTATCGGAGTAAAAGAGAATTCCAAAAATCCAATATAGAGATGCCAGTATATAACAAACACACAGCAGTCTAAGGACTGTCTTTTAGTGGTGTTAAACCTGTTTTAGGAACTAACCAATTTCTTTCTGTTATGCAGTTGAAATGATTTTTTAGTCACCATCCCTTTTTAGAAGTTCTGCGATTCAAAAACAAGCATGGGTTTCGATACTGTTAAGGAATTTTAGCAGAAATTATTGTGTTTTATCAAACTGGTTTTTATGTTCTTTTTTTCAGCTTTCTTTGCTGGCTTATGTTCATAGGGGAGATGATTCCAAAGACCTATACAAAGCTATCATTGTTGCCAAGATTTTAAAAGGTTTTTATGATGATTGTACAAAGCAGGATGATGTAGATGCAGCAAGAGTAAGCTTTTAAGATTCTCTCCACATAACTTATTTTATCATATAACCGAAGAATTTCATTTGCGTATCATACACACATGATAAATATCTTGACCATACATCCTGAATAAATAATACTCATATATTTATTAAGATATTTCCAAAGTTCTAATTTTTGAAAGTATTTTTTTTATCTTTAAAATATCTTTAGTTTTCAAGTTCAAGGAATTTTTTAAAACATTTTTCTTTAATCAGGAATGCAAGAAATGTTCTAATTTCAGTTTTCTACTGAAAGCTACAGGAATTAAAATTTGCTTAGTTTTCATTACTTTTAACTTTAAAAAAAAATAGATATGTTGATAAGAGAAATTGATAATTCAATGTAGGACTCAAAAACTATTGTCCTATTTCAAAGTATGTTTTATTCATTTTACTAGTTCCCTTAGTCTTTACTTAAATCCAAAATTAAAATATTTTATTCTCTTGTCATATTTTTTCTGATTACAAATTCAAAATTGAAGAAATTTCAATATGATTTCTCTGTTTATAAGGAAGAGTATATTTTATTGTATCACTCCTTATGTTTTCCAGCAGAGGTGGATTAAGGTAGTAGGAGGCCCATTGGCTCAAGAGTCAAAAAACTAAAAAAGTAAAAACATTTGCTGATCTAAAATTTTCAAAGTAAAATATATTGCTAATAATAAAACTCAACAGCTACAGAAAAATCTTAACTGTATTTAAAAAAATTAAAAACCTTACTAAAGAAGGCTTACAAATTTTCTATATGACTTCACTTCTTGATTTCTCTTTGAAAATTCATCAATTATTTTAACCATATCTATATTATCCAAAACATCTTGTTCTATATATAACATGGTCATGTTGTTAAATTTGTATTTTTTTCATAGTACTTCTTAAATAATTTTTAACACGCTTTAAAACTAGAAAAGATCTCCCACCTGATGTATTCAATATCTGTATTGTTAAAAATATTTTCAAAAGGATCTCTACATTAGGGAAAGTATCTCCACATTAGGATTTCTCTTGCAACTCGGTACATTTCTAGAGGTATAGTGATACATTTCTAGTGGTTGATTGTATCTTTGTTTTCCTTTAAAAATAGTAAAAATTTATCTAATTCATATTGTCAAAAATAAAAGATCCAATTGCGTCTTTGTAATTTCCTTTAGTTTTTGTGTAGCTTGCTTCTTAATTTCAGGTAATAATATCTCGTCAAAAAAATATGCTAAAGTATTCTATAATAGTTTCATAAATCTCAGCTTTTCGGGATAGGTCTGCTCATGCCCTATCACATATGGCATAAAATGAATTGGCTATGGAATTTTCCTTTTTTTTAAATATCGTAACCAACTACTTTTCTTTCACTGACAGGACAAGTGCTGCTTACTTTTCAAACGAGAACTCTGATAAATCAGTTGCTCCTTGTTTCTATTTTTTCCAAGTTCATTTCTGAAATTTTGGATATAATTTTCTAGAGATTTTAGTATACATTAATAATTCACACTACTCTTACTGCAATAATTTGCTGGTAGCATCTATTCTCTGGAGTGTGTGTTGCCTCTAGTGTGAAGTTGTCTTCAGTATTGTGGTCTTTCTTTCCCTCATTCGAATCACGAATTTCAGCCTGGGATGCTTTTATTAATCTTAATCTTGCTGTTAAGGCTTAAATTCAACTAGTTTAAAATAGTTTGCTTTGAACTAGACATATCTTTTGTCACATAACTTCATTTTATTTAATTTATCTTCACTGGTATAATACACCGATAGAAATAAAAATCCCATTATTCCAAGAAAAAGTTGGGCTACATCAAAGAAATTGGTAGGCCTGTATGTACATATGAAAGATGAGTTACATTTCAATTTTGCAGTAGGGAGAAAAGTGTAGTTCTAGTAGCATCATTTTGAGCATGTGAATCGAGGGTACTTTAAATACACGCTATAAAGTCCAGCATGTATTATCGTTGAGATTTGACACAGTGATTTGATTTTGGTCCAGAATAACTTAAAGCCATTATCATCAGTTTCCTGTTTTAACAAGGTAGTATAGTATATCTCAGTGGCGTAACAAAGAACACTGGGGCCCCCCTGCAAAGTCAGGTTTTGGGCCCCGAGCCCAAATACGTACTTGGTGTTAGTCAGGCTTTGCCCCCACTCCCACAATGGGGGGGGGGGTAGCGACTAGATATACGCCACTGGTATTTTTAAAAAAAGGTGGATTTTCTTTCCCTGGGAGGAATGTATCCACTGTGCATGATTTTGGGCAACAGTGATTCAGGGGTGGCACTGCCTCAAGAAAACTATGGTCCAACCATGCATGAGTCACCACTGACAGAGAAGACTGCCGTATTTACTGCATGGTTATTCACCATCATAGTACATCTACAGCAGAAATTAGTTTTTTTCAGCACTAGAGTGAGATAGTGAGTGGTAACAAATTAGTCTTTTGAGAAGTAGCTCCCAGACAGATGCTCTGTTGTGTTCATACCCCATAAGCTCCAAATCACTGGCATCTGCGACTTAAGTAATACCAGAGATCATTGTAGAGCTGAACGAAGATGTGTTTTCCGATCAAATTGTTTCTGTCTTGGTGTCAGTGATGCAATTGCATAACGGTGAATATTATGGGCCCCTTGCAAAGTCAGGTTTGGGTCTCAAGTGTCAGTGGGGGGGGGGCTATGACCCCCACAATGCAGCAGTATACATTATGCCACTGCAGTGATAGCTGTATATTGATTAGAAGAAAACCAGGTCAACACCTGCAAATAACCTTTCTGCGACCCAGACACACTGAGGCCTGCACCTCTAGAGTTGTGGTTTGGCGCAAATTTTTTTCTTTGATTGCCGGAGCACTCTGGAGGTTGATTCACACACCCTGTCTGCTAACTTGTGCATCAGTCTGATGATTCAAACTGTTGTACTGCTATTCATAAACATCATTATATGATTGTTAACAGGATAACGTGCACCCTCATACCCAGTTGTAACCCAACATGCTCAATAGAGTGACAACGTGCTACCTTGG